CACCCTGAGGGCAGTGGGAAGTCTCACAGAGTCTATAAGGCCAAGTGAGGGGGCCAGCCCAAAGGTTATCAGGAGGCACTTCCTTCCACAGAAAGCTCCTCTCAGCCAGATGGCTGTGGGCGGGGTCCTTCTGCTCCCTCTCTTCGGATGCGGATGCATTCTTCCTGTCCCCAGGGAGAACTGTCCTGTCTTAGAGAGAGTCAGGCTGGGGATGGCCCAGCACTTGGCTTTTCCCCCTTCCCAGGGCCCCATCACTCCCAGCCTCCCCTGGGTGTCTGTGCCTCTTGCCACTTGCTTGTAAGTTTCCTAATATAGCCTGGCCGTTTCCTCCCCAACTGGTGGCCAAGAGCCACTCTCCTGTTGCAATCTCAATTTTTCTTGGGCTTAAAGGGACCATGTCAGCCCATCTCATGCCAACTTTAAGCTAAAGGTAGATTGGCTGATTTAATTTCACAAACTTGTCTAATCCAGAGATTAGATGTCTTCTGCTTTCTCCCAGTTTACCATCTTCTCTGTTCTACTCCTGTTCACTTTCCCCTTTCACAGATTTTTTTTTCTTCTTTCTTCTGAGCACAGCGGAAGGAGCACAGCTAAACATGGATGTGAGTTTTGGTGTATTTATTAACTGTGTTGCCTTGAGTGAGTCTTATAGGAACCATTAAATACCTCTCTGGGAGTGAGCCATGCAGATTTCTGGAGGAAGAACATTCCAGGCAGAGGGAGCAGCAAACAGAAAGGCCCCGAGGCAGGACCATGGCTAATGTGTGGGAGGAACAGCAAGGAGGCCTTTGTGGCTACAGTGGACTGAGGGAAAGGGGAGAACTGAGGGAGGTGAATGAGGACAGAGCAATGAGGGGGATGCGATCAGGTAGGGTCCATGGATCACTAAGGACTTCAGCTTTTCCTCTGAATGAGAAGAGGCAGAGCAGTGTTGTGATTTTGACTTTATTACAGTTGAACTGAATCCCCATGATAGGTGTGCTAGGAATGGATAGAGGAGCACAGGGTGGAAACAGACCATCGTGCCCACCATTATGAAAATCCTGGCGAGAGACAAGGGTGGCTTGGGCTACCATCTAGTAGCAGTGAGGGTGGTGAGAAGTGGCTGGATTTCAGATGCACTTGGAAAGGAGAGTTGACAGGATTTCCTGATGGGTATTTGCAGAATGCTGTACTGGGGTGTTTGTGTTTTGGGGTTTTTTTCCTCTTTAAAAGTTAATTAATTAATTAATTATTAAATCACGGTATAGTTTCCATGCAATAAAATGCATTTCAAGTGTACAGTCTTGACAAATGCATACACCTGTGTAACCACCAGCACATCAAGGTATAGAACATTTCTGTCAATTCAGGAAGTTCCCGTACATCCCTTTGCAGTGGATCCCTCCTACCCACAGCCCTGGTAACCACAGATCTGCTTTCTTTCACTCTACATTAGCTTTTACCAGCCTTTAATGTAATTGGAATCACACAGTTTGTATTCGTTCATCTCTGGCTTTATTCGCTTAGCGTGTTTTTGAGATCCATGCTGTACAATCAGTCTATTCCTTTTTAATGCTGACCAGTATTCCACTGTGTGGCTGACTATCTGTCCATCCATTTACCAGATGATGGACATTTGGGTTGTTTTTATTTTGTTGTTGTTGTGGTCTCCTTTTTAATCTTCCCCTGAACTCTAAAAAGTGGGTATTATTTTTCCATTTTCCAGAGAAGCAAATTGAGAATTAGGAGAAGTAACTTGTTCAAGGTTCTCCAGATTAGATGATGTCTGAGATCAGTTTGTCTTGGACTTCACATCTCTATCTGTCCCCCTGCCTCCCATACAATGTGACCACATGGGAATGAGCTTGGAAATGGGAACACATTAGTTTTCCATCTATCCATCTCCCCATTTGATCATCCCCTGCACCATGCTCTCATTTCTCTATTCTTTGCAATTGCCACACATGCCCATTTGAACTGGTTTCAAATCCAGTTCTGCTCCTTCCTTACTGGGTGACTTTGGACAAGTCACATAACCTCTCTGAACCATTCCACCTGTGAAATGGAGATCATATTTATATCTTCCTCTATGAGATAATGCCCAGTGATACTGCCTTTCTCTGTCTCTCTCCACTTCTCTTTGGCCCTTTTACAGTTCATATTCTATGGTCATTGGTTTTTCATGGCTGGACATTGAAGGGAGTTCTGATGTCCCTCTCCCCACTGGCTGCTCCTGCCTGCTGTACAGAGAGACTGCAAGAACTGGGGACCCTCCCCAGCAAATTAAACCAGATTTTCTGGGGGTGAGGTCCGGAAATTGGTATTTTTTAGAGCTTCTGAAGGGCAGCCAGGATAGAGAACTGTGGGCTCAGAGCGTGAGCTTTGGGCATTAGACAGATTTGGGTTTGGATTCTGCTTCCTTGCCCAAGTCAGTTAATCTCTCAGACCACCATCTTCCTCTTCCGTAAATAAGCATCATCACTGGGACCCACCTGATAGGACCTTTGAGAGGTTTCAATGAGCCCTGGGCACTCTATGTGACTCTTAATGGGGTCTCTTCATGCAGAAGGGGCTGGGGGAAGGACAGGACTGGAGCCTGTGCCGGGGGGGACCAGGCATGTGGAGTCACGTGGACGCACTCTCCTTGACCTGCAGAGTCACGGTGCCCAATTCCTAGAAAGCCAGCATCTCAAAGTTAGGCCAAACTTTAGAAAGCTTCATATCCAACACGTCATTGACGGACAGGGCAATTAAGGCCTTAAGAAGGGAAGAGAGTTGCCCAAGGTCACACAATGAGATGGAGTTTCCAGACAAGTTCAGCCAATCAATCAGCAAATTATTTATGGAGCACCCCTATGTGCCAGGCCCTATTCCAGCTGTTGGGGCTGCACTGGAGACCAAAACAGGAAAGATCCCTGCCCTCATGGAGCTTCTCTTCTAGTGGGGAAAGGAAAGCAATGAATATAATAATTAAGTCATATGATACGTTAGAAAAGGATACATACTATAGAAAACAGAAGTAGATCGGGGAATACCTGGGTGCTTGTGGAAGTGCAGGCAGATCTGGAGGAAAAGAATTCCAAGCAGAGGGAACAGCCGGTGCAAAGGCCCGAAAGCACACCTGTTGGGCGGAGCTTAGGAATTCCCTTACCTGGCTCACTGTTTCAGTTCCCTACCCATGCTGGGCATTTGCTGGGAAGAAGGCCATTTGGGGTTTTTTTTGGTTAACTAGGGTAAAGTAGAAGCTTGTGTTTAAAACAAAGGCTCTGAATTTCCTCCCTCAACTCAGTGAACATTATGGCAGGCACTGTTCTACATGCTGAAGGCATGAAGATGAAGGCAGGGACCTGGCTTTCAGCGGACTACTTACACAGACTGTTGTTCCCAGGAGCTCACGTGCTCACACTAACGGACACATAGGGCCTCCACTGCGGGTATCTCCTTGTACACAACACTATCCTGCACACACATGGTCTCACACAGTCTCGGTTTCCCTAATGCCCACAACCTCATACACTTAGCCTCAAGTGCTACATATTACTCTGTGCTTTAACACTGAGAGAGCTTTGCACACTCAGAACCTCCCACACACCCATAATGTCACCTCCAGGAACTTGGACACTTACCCCACTGTGTACACACTGTATTGCACACTCATGATCTCGTATAATCAAAAGACACTGACATGCACGTCCATAAAAGTCTTCTATACACATGGCCTTGCACACATACACACTCTCACATGCTTTCCAACAGAGTCCTATGCTCTCTAGCATTCACACTACTCTGTGAACTCACTGTCTTATCCTTTCATGAGCTTGAACATGCACATCACCTTGCACAATAGGATGACTGTGCACATGCATTTAACCTCACATACCAACAGATGTGGCTGCTTACACCTCTCCACACTCTTTGAATTTCTAATGGTTTTGCACCCTCACTCAACTTTGCCTTTCCTTACACACTCAAGACCTCAAATACTCTCATGACCTTATGGTACATCCATTATGTCACACTCATGTGATCTCAGTCACCCTCTGTGTGCACACTGCCTTGCACACTCATGATTCAACATGCTCCCACTACCTTGCACACTCCCACACATGCAAATATTCACCCTACCACACAAACTCACTGTCTTGCCCAATCACTCTCTTGCATGTTCAGTCTCTCCTGGGTGTTTCAAAATCTGTGCACTCATCCAAATTCACACTCACCAAACCTCGTCTGGTTGGACAACTTCACACTTTAAAACTGACAGATCCTATTTTGCACACCTGTGACCCAGCTGTGTTCCTACCAACAGAAATATTCACACCATTGTGCAAACTGCTTCTGGCCACCCACTCATGTCCTGGAACACTTGTTTAACGGCATGCACTCTGGGAGCTCACACAGCTTCACACACTGACGGGACTCACACGACCTCACTCTGTCTCGCCCACTGTGACCCGGCCATGTGGCCACCACCGGAAATATTCACACCGTCGCGCGCAAACTCCTGGCCGTCCACTTGTGTCCCCACACACTCGTTTAGCCGCCTGCGCTCCGGGGTCTTGCTTGCTCACACAGCTTCACACATTGATGGGACTCACACGACCTCACTCTGTCTCGCCCACTGTGACCGGGCCATGTGGCCACCACCGGAAATATTCACACCGTCGCGCGCAAACTCCTGGCCGTCCACTTGTGTCCCCACACACTCGTTTAGCCGCCTGCACTCCGGGGTCTTGCCTGCTCACACAGCTTCACACACTGACGGGACTCGCACGCCCTCACGCTGCCTCGCCCACGGTGACCTTGCGCGTTCCCACCGCCGGGAGTGTTCACACCCCTGCGTGATCGCCTCCCGGCTCGCCCACTGACGTGCTCGCGCCGTCACGAACGGCCCCCTCCCCACCCCAGCCTCGCCGGCCCTCCCACCCGCGCGCTCCCCGCCCCGGCCCGCCGCCCCGCCGCCCCGCGCCCGCAGGCCCCGCGGGCCGGCCACTGACGCGCCCTCTCCTCGCCCGCAGGGACCTACCAGGGCCAGTTCACCAACGGCATGCGCCACGGCTACGGCGTGCGCCAGAGCGTGCCCTACGGGATGGCCGTGGTGGTGCGCTCGCCGCTGCGCACGTCGCTCTCGTCCCTGCGCAGCGAGCACAGCAACGGCACGGTGGCCCCGGACTCGCCCGCCTCGCCCGCCCCCGACGGCCCCGCGCTGCCCCCCGCCGCCATCCCGCGCGGCGGCTTCGCGCTCAGCCTGCTGGCCAACGCCGAGCCGGCGCGGGCGCCCAAGGGCGGCGGCCTCTTCCAGCGGGGCGCGCTGCTGGGCCGGCTGAGGCGCGCCGAGTCGCGCACGTCGCTGGGCAGCCAGCGCAGCCGCGTCAGCTTCCTCAAGAGCGACCTCAGCTCGGGCGCCAGCGACGCCGCGTCCACCGCCAGCCTGGGCGAGGGCGCCGAGGGCGCCGACGAGGCCGCGCCGTTCGAGGCCGACATCGACGCCACCACCACCGAGACCTACATGGGCGAGTGGAAGAACGACAAGCGCTCGGGCTTCGGCGTGAGCGAGCGCTCCAGCGGCCTGCGCTACGAGGGCGAGTGGCTGGACAACCTGCGCCACGGCTACGGCTGCACCACGCTGCCCGACGGCCACCGCGAGGAGGGCAAGTACCGCCACAACGTGCTGGTCAAGGGCACCAAGCGCCGCGTGCTGCCGCTCAAGAGCAACAAGGTCCGCCAGAAGGTGGAGCACAGCGTGGAGGGCGCCCAGCGCGCCGCCGCCATCGCGCGCCAGAAGGCCGAGATCGCCGCCTCCAGGTAGGCCCCGGGCTGGGCGCAGGCGGGGTGGGCCTTGCTGGGGTAGGGGTTCCGGGCAGGGCGACCCGGGAGGCCCAGGCTCTGAGCCTCTTCTGCTTCTTTCACCATCAGGGGTACCCCCTGACCTTTAGAGAGTTAACTGGAGGCGCTTTTGGTCCCTGTCCATCCATCCATCTGTCCATCCATCCACCTGTCCACCCATCCATCCACTCAACTACTCCTGTCCACCCATTCACCCAACCCTCCATTCACTTAACCCTTCCATTCATCCAGGCTTTCTTTTTCTTTTTCTTTTTTTTAAGATTTTATTTATTCATTTGAGACACAGAGAGAGAGAGAAAGTATGAGCAGGGAGAGAGGCAGAAGGAGAGGGAGAAGCAGGCTCCCCACTGAGCCAGGAGCCCGACGCGGGGCTCGATCCCAGGACCCTGGGAGCATGACCTGAGCCGAAGGCAGACGCTTCACCATCTGAGCCACTCAGGTGCCCCATCCAGGCTTTCTAATAGCCACCTGAACAACCATCTCTTCACCCCACCTACCCACTCCACTTTCTGTTTACCCATTCATCCTCCAGACACCGGTCCAGCCACCCAGTCATCCATTCCTTCACCCAGCCCCTTGTTCACCTAACTTCTCCACTAACCTCCTGAATAACCCCTCCATGAGGACAACAACCTCGTCACTCAGCCTCTCTGACATCTACCTGGACAACCACCCATGCATCCAGCCACAACCTCATCCACCCCCATCCACCCATCCAACTTTCCACCCTTCTACCCACCCAACCCTCCAGTTACCCACCTATCCACCCAACCACTTAGACACCCATCCAGACAGCCATTCAACTACCCACCCATCCCCTTATTCACTAACCACCCACATTCACTCAACTACTTCTTCCATCTACCAAGTCTTAACATCCATCCATGCATTCATTCACCTAACCACTTCCATTCACCCAGTCTCCTCCATTTACCCAGTCACTCCCATCTCCCATCACCCATGCTTCCATCAACTGAAACAACACGCTTCCACCCACCTACCCACTCATGCAAGCACCCATCTATCATCCAGCCAGCCAGCCACCTCTAGAGCCCAACCATAACTTCCATTCAACAATCCCTCTTCTCTTCCACTCACTCAGCTACTGTCACCCATCCACCTACTAGCCCTGTGTCCATCCACCTTCCTATCCATTCAGCACCCACCCTTTTGTCCATATTCAGACCCCTCCATGTCTTATCATTGTACTTCAGAAAAAGTCTTAATGTTGTCTGCAAACGTTTATAGTTCTCGCTGTGTACATGGCACTGTTTTAGTAGTTTACAAATATTGACTCATTTAATCTCCTTATAAGATCCGTTCTGGTTTTATTTCCATTTTACACATGGGTTAAATGAGGCTTAGAGATATAAAGTGACTTGTCCCAAATCACCCAGGTAGTGAATGGCCCTTCATAATCTGGTTCCTACACTCCTATTCTGCCTCATTTTCTACCATTCTTGCCCTGGACCTGAATTTTATTCTCTGAACTAGTCATGCTGGCCTTTTATCATCCTTTAGTTCCTTCTGCCGGAGAGCTTTTGTTCCTACTGGTTCTTCACCTAGACTGCTCTCCCTCCCCCTTGCTGCCCATTTAATTCCTACTCCTCTTTCAGAGCTCAGGTAAAGCCTGACTCCCTTAGGGAGCTGATGGAGCCCAGCCCCCTGTTACAGGCTGACCTCACTGGATTGCCTGGACATTTTCTTACAATGTTTCACATTTCAACCTTAATGCTGCTTATGTGATTTGTTTTCAACCTGCTATTTATAAAGGGTTTTTTATGCCCCACTGTTCTGAGGCCTTTACATAAATTAACTCACTTAATCTTTACAACATCTCAACAAAGGTAGGTACTGTTATTATTCCCATTTTGCGAATGTGGAGTGAGCTGCAGGGAGGGCAGCGGGTGTGGTGGGACAGGGGTGAAAAGCACTCATCTGTTCTGGTGCCCATAGCAATCCTGCTGGGGGCTCTAAATGGCCTGGGCTGGAGGCTGTGGCACCGTGGTCTTCAGGGTAAAGCAGACATAGGACCAAATCTTGGTTCTATCATCTGTTTGCTCAGAAACCTGGGAAGATCAGTTTGCCTGTCCAACCTTTAGTTTGCCCACCTGGGGCACCTCCATTTCTTAGTTATATGTTCTTGGCCAAATCAGTTTTCGTCTTCAATATCGGTTGTGTCATCTATAAAAATAGGGTTAGTCTGAGGGTGAAGAAAGATAGTACAGGTCCCGGGGTTTACAGTCCTGTCATGAGGTGAGTTTATGGGGAACACCCAGGAGCAACATTTGTGGGGAAGGGAAGGAAGCTGGGTTGGGCAGAGGGAGACGCTGGGCTGTAGTCTCCACAAGGGCCTCAGCCAACCACAAGAGGTATGCTGCGGTGGAGATGACCTTCACAGTCGTCCCTAGTTGAGGAGAGGGCACTGAATCTGTATACCGTCTGCTCTGGCTGCAGCTACCCTCCAGAAAGGAGTGTGACCTGGGGCTGGACGGTTTTCTTCAGCCACGGGCCACCCCTGGGCAAGGCTGATAGGTGGTGCCCCTCTGACCAGCTGGGGGAGGAGGAGAGGAGAAATAAGTCTTTGGGTCCTGAAGAGGAAACTGGGGGGCACATCACAGTACCCACTACAGTGCTGGACACCTAGCAAAGGCTCAATAAGCATTACTAGTCATTGTCGTCATTCAGTGAATTCATTATACAGATGTGGAAACTGAGGCCCAGAGAAAGAACGTAATATCCCCCGAGACCACCTGGCAAGCAAGTGGGAGAACCAAGGCTCCGGCTCCTAAATTTCTGATTCTGAAGCTTTAACCAGCACATCTTGCTATCTCTGAACTTTGTAAACCTTAAAATGGTGTGAATGTGTGAGCAGTTAGTATCATTAAGATGGCCCAGTTTCCCCTAGCGTTAAGTTCTTACGTTACCATAATACACTGGTCTCAGCCAACACTGGTACATTACTGTTAGCTCCAGACTTCGACTGAATTGTACTAGTTTTCCCACCTCTGTCCATTTCCTGTTTCAGATTCCATCCGGTATCCCACATTGCATGCACTGGTCATGTCTCCTTAGTCTTCTCTGGTCTGGGACAGTTTTTCAGCCTTCCCTTGTCTTTCATGACCTTGACAGTTTTGAGAACTGGCCAGGCATTTTGTAGAATGTCCCTCAGTTTGATGTTTGTCTCATTGTTACACTGAGGTTATAGGTTTGGGGGAAGAAGACCACAGGAGGTAAGATGCCATATCATATCATATTATATCATATCATATATCATATATCATATATCATATTAGGGCATGTGGTCTTAACATGACTCATCACGGATGACGTTAACCTTGAACACCTGGTATCTGCCAGGTTTCTCTGCTATAAAGTTACCATTTCCCCTTTCCCATACTCTGTTCTTTGGAATCCAGACACTAAGTTCAGTCCACACTTAAGAGGGAGAAAGGTCTGGAATTAAGCTCCAGAGGGAGGAGTATCAACATACATTAGCTGGAATTCTTCTGGAAGGAAGATTTGTCCCTTCTTCCAAAGGGAACATTTTTCACTAGTAGGCCAAGTGTCTATCATTGTGACAGGCATAAGCCCGGAGTGTCCTGGGCCACCCTGGGACATGGCAGAGCTTACAACAGGTAAGAGCTTAGCCTCTTGATTCAGAAGATCATGAGTTAGAGTTCTTGCTCCTCTGTGTGACCAAGGGGCTTCACCACTCTGAACCCTGGATCTTCTTTCCTCCTAGGGTTGTTTTGAGGAGTAGATGAATTAATGCCTAGGAAATGCCTGGTGCAGCAAAAGCGGTCATTGTCATCATCTAACCTGTTCAATTTTAAGGTGAGGAAATAGAAGCTTGGGAAGAAGGAGGGATTTATTTCCCCAGGCTCTCACCTGGTGGGGGCAAAATCTTGCCCCTCTCCGCCCCCTTGCTTTCCCTGACCTCCTTGTCCTTGCCACCAAGGCCTGTGCCCTTGAACACGACGATGTTGAGCTCTGTTTGAGAAGGCTAGCAGGCCCATAGCTGGGACCTGAATCTCTGGAGTGAGAAGGTGTTGTCCAGCTTCCTCCACAAGATCTGCCAGGAGGGGAGCGCAGGGGAGATTTGGATTCCTCGTGTGCCTAGGGAACACGTCCTGTATGCCTGCAGGGCTCTTACCATGTGAGGGGCAGCTCCCTGGCTCGGTTTTAAGCTCAGACTGATTTTCCAATTAAGGGAATCTTTGGGTTAGGAGGAAAAGCAGGATTGTCTCCCTTGCAGGAGTTTTGGTGAGTAATCGAGCTGCAGAGGAACAGGGAGCCTTCCTAGCAGCCACCAGCCTCCTTGGCTCAGGCAGACCTGGGGTTTCTCTTCATTGTGGCCTCAATCTCCTGGTCCTGGGCTTCCATGGAACTTGTCAGCTCAGAGTCTAGGATCAGGAGAGCTTTCCCAGGGGGAAGAGAGAAAGCCGAGGCATCATATCCCCCTAAAATGGGCTGTGGCCTAAAAAAGATTCTAGACCTGCAATGTCCAATATGGTAGCCGTTCAGTGGCTGCCGAGCTCTTGAAATGGGGCTGATCTGAACTGAGATGTGCTGTTAAGTGTGAAACACACACTGGATTTCTGAGACTTAGCAAGAAAAAAGTGTAAAGGAACCTGTGAATTTTACATTGATTTTTTTATATTGATTACATGTTGAAATGATTATGTTTCGGATGTGTTGAGCTGGATAAAACATCATTACATAATTGTTAAATTAATAATATTAATAACATAGTTATTAAATTAATTTCATCTGTGTTTTTTACTTTTCTGAATGTAGCCATTAGAAAATTTAAGAATTATACATGTGGCTCATACTGTATTTTTATGGGGCAGTGTGGCTCTGGACCCATCCAGGGCTCTAGGAGATAGTCTGATTCCTTCCCCAACCAGATGGGAAAATGGAAATACAGAAAGGGACAAAGACATATCATAGCC